GAGCTAACAGGTAACCAGCCGTGTTACAGTCAATGTTCGGAAAAAAAAAAATTTATTTAATTGAATTAAGTGGAAAAAAAAATCTTTCTGTGTAAATATCCTATGTTACCCCGTGGACACATGTGGCCCATATATGTACAGTATTTCTTTAGTGGATGCGGCTTAAATTCTGGTCTGTTAAATAGTCTGAAAATTTGTCTGAAAACCAAAAGTTGCTTTGGTTATAAGGGACTTCTGTTTTCAGGTGACCGAATGCATAGAAAAAAAACATTGCTCAAAATGTTTTTTTTTTTGTTTGTTTTTTTTTTATAAAGGGATACCTCACTCAGCTTCATCTATAATGTCGCAGTTGCTTAAGATTAGAAGAAAAATTTTCATATTCTCCCGTCGGCCATACAAAATGACTTGGCGGGGCCGCATGTGGCCCTGGGGCCTTGAGTTTGACATGCGCTCTAGATTCATGCATTCATACTTGTAAGATACAATAAGAATATAGAAATGATAGAAGTTCTTTTTTTTTTTTTTGACAAATGTGGTTGTACGATAACGTCATTAAGTACGGGGTTGTTGTCATGTTTCATATTTTTTTCAATCTCTATTTCTTTGCAGATGTGATGGTGTGGTCCAATGAGCGAGTCATGTGCTGGGTGCAGAACATTGGTCTAAAGGAGTATGCTGACAACCTCAGAGAGAGTGGTGTACACGGTGCTCTGCTGGCTTTGGATGACACATTTGACTACACCGATTTAGCCCTACTGTTGCAGATACCTAATCAGAACACACAGGTACCAGTGATTAAAGAGTCTTTTTTTTCTCAATCTCAGCTTTTCCAGGAAACCTATTTTTTATAGAGAGAAACCTAGATTTTCACTCAGGTTTTTACAAATTGCGGATTGCTGAAAACTCCAAAATATGTGAGGTACTTGTGTGGCTCCACATTGTCTCTCCGTTTGCCTTCCTTTAGGCAAGACAGCTCCTTGAACAAGAATACAACTCTCTTATCTCTATGGGAACTGAGAGACGACCAGATGAGGTCAGTAACGTAAAATAAACGTCCGTAAGCGACGACCTGTTTTTTTGAAATTGTCGAATGTGCACTGAGGTCCTCACGCCGTCTTTCTCTGTGACAGGATGGAACAAAAACGTTCACACGCTCGCCATCCTGGAGGAAGATGTTCAGGGAGAAAGACCTGAGGGGTGTGACCTCCGACTCTGCCGAGACGTTGCCCGCAAACTTCCGTGCCTCAGCAATTTCCACACCCTCTGTCACCCTGAGGAAGGTTCAGAGTGATGGTAAGTATAGTGAAACCTACAGGTGTAGTTTCTCCCATTAACATATCTTCTCCTGGGGGGCGTCTAGGTGCGGTAGAAGATAGCCATTCCTCGCGGTACGATAGCGATCATAGCGATGTGTGTGCACTCAACAGCTCTGATTACATCAGAGAATCTGGATGACGTTCGGATGATTCCGTCCCACACAACTGGCATGGCCCAACCGCAGGGTTGATTGGCACACTTCCCGCCAATCCGCGCTGCGCTGGAATGCAGCTGTTGCCAGGCACCCCACCGACAACCGCTGGCTCCTCGCTCTTTGCACATGTCCAGTAACACTGGCGTTGGTAAACGAAACCGCTTCATCAAATGCGAAGTGATACCCACCCATGTAACTGCAAACACATGGGTGTGTCTCTGATGTGCTCATCACTCTGATGACTACTAGTCGTGACTACTAGTTAGCAGTTTCCCAGCATAACCTCCATAAGTGTCGCCAAAGGCATGACACCTGTAGAAACATGCGTACGCCAGCTGTGGACCGCCCGCACATTACTGCACTCATTTCCGTTGTGAAACATCTGAACATAAACGTGGAAAAACACATAGGAAACCAGGACTGGGGTGATATTGTCTCTTTTTTAGGTTCCTGTTAATACCCCTGCTTCTGCATATTAGATAAGCTGGAGTTTTGGTTTTTTTTTTAACAAACTGATAGCTTACGGTAGTCTTGTCTAGCTGTAACAAACACATGAGCACATTTTCTTAGCTTCTTTTAAATGTAATGATATTTCTAATTTTTTAGGTGATGAAAGGCTGATCTAGAGATTTGTCTAAAAAATGTGTCTTCTGTCCTCGTTTGCAGCCAATGCGGGGACCAGAGGTGAATCTGCCTCAGTGCGGACATACTCCTGTTGAGGGGACAGTGAGGTAAGAAGGTAGTGCTATCTAGATAGCTAGTGCTAACTGTTGGATGCCAGTTGTTGCTAATTGTTAAGAACGCAAAGGGGGTGCTGGTTTATCATCGCAAGGGCTAAGGGCTAACCATGTAATTGTTGTAGTTGTATTGAATCATATCGCGTAAGCACCCCCGACATAATGTACACAAACAGGTTTATATTCTGTATTTGCTTTCGCATATGTACCGTAATTTCCGGGCTATAAGCCGGTACTTTTTTCACCCGTTTTGAACCCTGCGGCTTAAACAGTTATGCGGCTAATTTATGGATTTTTACGGGCTAACGAAGTTCATACCGCTAGCGATCAATGACTTTTCTGGTAGGCTACTGTGTGTTATACTAGTAGCGTATGTCTGTCTGTGAATGGCTGTGTGCGTATATGTGCATGGGGTGCACGCCCGAGAGAGAGAGAACGGTAGCGAAGTTGAGCGCAGTCTGTTAAAACACTGTTTATGTTCTGTTGTGGTCGGTGTGGCTGATAATAAAGACCCCAACTATAAACCCCATAATAAAGACCATACAATAAAGACCCCAACTTCCTTGTTTCTGTTTACCTCTGCTGAGGACAAAGCACAAAGTGAAGGGAGTTAGCCCCGTAGCTAATGTTAGCTTCAGCCCTGGAGCAGATCAATGTGTCCCCTGTGCATTCCAGCTACGGTCAGTGCGTCGAAGCAGGAAAGAGCTAACGTGTAACCAGTCGTGTTACAGGCACCGTTCGAACAAAAGCACCTATTTAATTAAAAGTGAAAAAAAAAAAATCTTTCTGTCTAAATATCCCATGTTACAACGTGGACACCTGCGGCTTGTAGAGAAATGCGGCCTATATATGCACAATTATTTTTTTCTTTTTAAATTTAGTGGTTGCGGCTTTACTGGGTGCGCTCAATAGTCCAGAAATTACGCTAACTTTCTATTAGCGTTTTAACTTCTGCTTAAATTTTGTATAAAAATATTTTTCGCCTTACTTTGGTGTTGGTCTTCGGTTAATAATCTGTGAGTTTTTGCCTTTTTCAGTTACTACAGTTTTCTGAACTCTGTCACATGACCAAATGTTAAGAATAAAAGACCACCCTAGGTGGCATCCGTTCTCGCTCTTCCTCTGTGAAAGCAGCACTCCCGTAGCGTTACTTTTTTTTGTTGACTTATGCTCAAAAATTAGCATTCAGTGGTTTAGTGGTTTAGCTTTAGCATTTAACCTTTTAAAAAAGGAAAAAAAAAATTAGTAAAATGCGCTTGTATTTAACCTTTTAAAAAAGTAAAAAAAAAAATTAGTAAAATGCGCTTGTCGTGCATTTCTGTACCATTTCTGTTTGTTTGCGTTCGGTGTGTGCGTTCAACTCTTTCTCTCTCCGTAGGGCATTACATGGACTGGAACTTTGAGGAACCTTCTAGCTAGTCCACAAGGAAAGACACAGTGACAGTAACAAAAAAGAATCAATTGGACCGTCTCGCAATAAAAGAAGAAACAGAATAACAATAATAATATTTTGAAAGTGACATTAAGAATGTATGAATGTTTTTCTCCGCAAAATTAGGAAGGGGTAAATGAGATTTTCTTCTCTCTCTTTCTCTCCCTCCCTCTCTCTCTCTCTCTCTCTCTCTCTCTGTCTCTCTCTCACGTTGACCAACTTTGTTTTGGTTTTAATTAGCGACAGCACCGGTGTAGAGTTAGCTATGGGTCGTTGTGTGTGAGGCTTTAAGTGAGGTGAAGTGTCACAACTAAGAGCTTTCCTGTTTTGTTCTCAGGTTACATCAGGACGGTGTTTTTCTTGTGGTGATACCAGAAGGTTTTTCACTACAGACTATTTCTTTACGTAAGGAGGGCGAAATAATTATGTCTGGAGTAAAGTATGACATGGATTAACCCTTTCATGCATGACGGCCACTACAGTGGACAGCTATTAAAATGTAATTTTCTATGATAAGAATAGGTTTTGATTGCAGTGTTGGCTATAAACCCCTCCAGTGTGGCGCCGCGAAATCACNNTGTAGAGGCTTATATGCAACACTGCCATCAAAACCTATTCTTATCATAGAAAATTACATTTTAATAGCTGTCCACTGTAGTGACCGTCATGCGTGAAAGGGTTAAGCCAGATGTGGGCCACACATCTTGTGTGCTACCTACTCCCATGCACAGCAGTCCAGTTTGTTGTGTGCCCACAACATGGGCGAAGTGATGAGTGCCACACACGGCATTCAGTTAGGGGGCTTTTAGTGACCCACATCTGGAACGCGTGGGCCTTTGCAATGCCACCTCTCAGTTTCTAACGGCAAAATATGTTTGCATGAATAGTCTCAGTCTTGGGTTTCGGGGTCTTCTTTATGAGCACACAAATGTCCGTTTTGTAGAGAAGATCGTAAAGCACAAAACAAGTTTATGTCCGGCTTAAAAAAAAAAAAAATAGCAAAATTGCGCTGTTTAAAGATCTTTGTTTCGTTTGAAATAAAGCCATGATATACCTGTATGTAGGAATATGTAGCAAATGTCTATGGACTTAAAGGAGTATCGAATCGATCAGCACATTTTTAGCAAACTTCAGGGCTTGAGAAAAAAAAAAAAAACGCAACGCAGTATGAATCACACCACATGACTTCCTTCTGTTCCAAAGCAGATTTTTTTTGCTTTTTTTAGTAGAAGAAAAAATTAGTTTGAAGTGTAAAGAAGCTGGAGGTTTACAAACTTAATAATGAGTTATTATTAGTTAACATCACTGCTGTACCCCCCTCCCTTTCCCCCCCCAACACCATAAACGAGCTGCTATCCAGTGTCAACCATTGTGGCTCATCATTGATGAACTCTATGTGAAAGGAAACATGAGGTTGAAAAAAAAAAAAAAAAAGTTTTGAGCAGCTGTTTATCTGCAACAATAACACAGCTAGCCTTTCCCCCGAGTCACGTCTGTTATCGCTGCTGTCGCGTCTTTTTTTCGTAGACGTCTCCACAATCAAAGGCTAGAAAATATGATAGGCGGTTGTAAAGTTTGGCCGCAACGCGTAACAGGGGGCATTGTGTTTGCTAGTTGGTGACGTCAAAGGCAGGTCGAACAGGTAGGCGATAGAGTGTAATTGCACTTTCTTTACAAAGGCTTCACAAAGGAACAATGGAGTAGGGATGGACAGAGTGCCAGATGTACATCGCCTGAGGTGCTAAAAAGAAAAGGCGAAAAAAAAAAAAAAAAATTACAGACGTTGTCTCCAAACTACAAAGTAACAACGAGTTAATACATTATTTTTTTTAAGGCACAAAGATTTATTTCGGTTATTGCAGCGCTAAAGGTTAACGACGTTAACGTTTCTCCATGCTGCTTTGATGTTCGTTTGTCCAGGTCAAATTCCGATACTCGCCTCGATCTCTGATCAAAAGGTCAAACCGATGACCTCAGCGGTTGTTATTAGAGGGGAAAGGAGACTTAACGAAGGATTTAGAAACAGTCTTTCTAAATGTTTTTTTTTTTTAAACTACAAAGTAACATTTTACTCTTTAGCAAATCAAAATACCTGCATTGTGCCTTTTGAAAAGTGTTTGCACCGGAGCTTCTTATACTGCTACAAATTAGGTTCATCTAAAACTAGTTGATCAAAGCTAAACCAAAAGTTGCTGAGCTGCAGCAACAAATGTCTGGAGAACATTTAGGGTTAGATGTCAAAGGCTGCATCTTACAGTAAGAAGGTCAGACTGATGGCAGGCAGTGTCCCATCTTCCCACGTGAGAGCGATTTATCCAGCTTTTCTGGTTTCCTCCCACCGTCCAAAGTCAGGCAGATTGGAGATGAGGTTAATCCAGAGGTTCCCAAAGTGGGGGAGGGTAGGCGCAGATGAAATGAATGACTGAAATGTAACGTGGCATATTGTCCAGTTCTGTTATTGAGGGTTGTAAACCGCATTTTTACTTGGGCGCCTCGTCGGCAATACAGTTCCCCCTTGAAGGGCCGGTTGTAACTGTAAGACTGTATCGCTGTAGCTACTCCATAACATATTAAAACATGTTTCTGCAACTGATTATTAAGTGTTGTAAGGTGCTCTGTGAAACTCAGCAACATGGACTTTATTATAAGGATTGACCCAATTGACCAAATTGGACAAGTTTTTGACAGAGCACGTGAACAAAATGATTTTTTTGGGGGGGTGCAAAAAAAATGTATGAACCAAAGGGGGGGGACCCAGCAGAGAAAGTTTGGGAACCACTGGGTTAATCGTACAGCGACCAGGGGTTTTAAATGTGAAGGTAAAATGGTTGTTCGTTTTTATATGTAGCCCTGTGGTGACAGCTTGGATCAGCTCCAGGTCCCCCCCTCCCCGACCCCCCCGACCCTTGACAGAATTAAGACGTAGGAAGAACTGTGGAATTCCTCCATGCAGACAGACTCAACTACGGAGCAGGGAATTACTGTACTCACGACGGAATGCAGTCTGGAGAGACAGAGAGACGAAAACACAAAGTCACAAGTTAAAATTTGAAATTCAGTGAAAGAGCCGAACAAAAAAGCCCTTACGACGAGTAGCGACACAAGCAGGTGAGTTGGAGAAAGGGTGAGAACAGAGAGTGAGAGAGAAAAAGAGAGAGAGAGAGAGAGAGAGTTAGGACGTAAAAAGAGAGGTCTGAAAAAGACTAGGAAACATGACGTTTAGCCTTTGTGTTTATGATGCATGTCAAACCAACAACAAATGACCGAAAAAGCATTTTTTTTCAGTAGTGAAAATGAAAATGAATGATGTTGTTTTAAAAAAAAAAAAAAAATTATAATAATCTGTATGATATAAACCGACCCAGGGCAGAGCCTGGGGATCAATTTGTAAAATCTGTGTATTTTTCCTTCAGTTGTATTTTTGATTTTTTTACAATAACTATTTTCTTTAAGTATGTATTGGATAAATGTATGTAAATGTTGTGTTTCCTCCTACATTTGATTTTAACTAGTTTTAAAAGTAAAGTAATATGAAATGTTGAGAAAAAAAAAAGTCTTTAAGATTATTATGCCACTATAAGTGTACATTTTGGAACAAATTGTGCAATGATTTAACAGATTTCCATGATTAAGGTGAAATAAAAAAAATCAATATCTGGGAAATGAACAGTGAAAATCATGATAACAATGGTGATGTTTAAAACAGAAAAAAATAAAGCACTCCTGGTGGATTTGCTCATCAACTTTCTTGAGAATCTTTCTTCCTTTTTTCATGGCTATCATTCTTGATTTTTATTACATTTTTTTACATTTTTAATTTTTTCCAACCTCTTATTCACTGGTATTCAATGGTGCCTGTGACTTTAATAGGCCTTGTAATAACTTTTGGGTTAATTTAATTTAATTTTTAACTTTTTTTTCATCAACTTTTATTTCTTATTTATTGATGTTGTTTGTTTTTTTCAGCTGAATTTAAGTTGTTTTGCAATAGGGTTGACTTACAATGAGTATGTTCTTGGCTAAATGTTAACTTTAGACCAACTTATAGTTAACCCTGTAAAGCCGGACACGTTACCGTTCTTGGCTAAATGTTAACTTTAGGCCAACTTATAGATAGAGTACTTGGTTAACCCTGTAAAGCCGGACACGTTACGTACATTTTTTAACTTTGATTTTAAAAACAAATAAAAAAAAAACAAAAAAAAAAAACGTAGATTTGGTTAGAACTTTTTGCTTACAACAATGTTCACAAAATAAATTGCTCTACATTTTAAAATTGAAACAACCTAAACAGTTTTTCTCCCAGAATCTTGTAGAGCAAATAGGAATGGTTTTGTAGGGTTAACTTTAATTTTTTTTATTTTTTTATTTTTTTTATTCTGATAAATGCCTTCAGACAACATTAGTGACTTTTCTGATTTTTTTTCTTTTAAATTGCCAACTTTAAAGACAAAGATCTACTGTGAACATTAAATATTTTACTTTTGTCTTTTGTCACTGAAACAAATGATTTTAAAAAGGGAAAAAAATAATTAAAAATAAAACAACTTTTCCCTGCAGTGTTTGTAAACGACAACATGTATCGACTGTTTCGGAGCAACGATGAGTGGAAGCGCTGTGGTTGAATCATTGTGCCCATGCGTTAAAATTCATTACGAATGTTAATGTGATTACTTTCACAAATGAATTAGCTTATTTTAGCAGCCAAAAAAAAAAAAAACCAACACCTTCACAGGTAGATCCGGGAACGGTAAATGAGGAAATACGATTGGAAAGGATATCTAATAAATAGCAGACACTGTCATTCCCGCTGTACAAAATAATGAGTAAAAATATATTTTATTACTAAGTTTGACAGGCAAAAGCAATTGAACAATAGAATTAGCTTCTTTAGTGTCATAAATGTAAAAAAAAAAAAAAAAAAATTTACTTTTTATTAACAAACCGGGCAGACGCACATTATTTCAGCACCATATTTGTTTCGTGTACTGACAACGAGCGTCGCTAAATAAAAGCACAAAATCTCAAGTTACCCTGGTGGGCACTGAAACAAACCCTCAGTAGGTGGCGCTCTTCCTCTTTTACACACAAGTGGACCAGAGGTTGGAATTTTGATAAGGCACTTTCTATAAATACATACAGATATTTATTTAACATACAGGTATATTGGTGTCTTATTGTACACAAATGTAAAGGAATATATTAATATCAAAGACATACACATGCTTACGTACTAATCAAAAATAACTTATTACTCATGAAAGGATCATACAAAACAGTACTTTTGAAAGTAGTATCTCTACAATTTCCTTTGATCTAAGGTCTAGTATTGAGGTCTTTTCGTTATTTTTTTTTTAAAGGAGGTGGAAAAATGACGGCAAGTATGGATGAAGGGTTAGGGATGGCTTCCCTTTTTAGTTCATCTTTTCCCACTTTCTTTCTTAGCCCTTCCCATTCCTAGTCAGGACCTCCCTACCCAGATTGGCTCTGGACAACAACACACAGACACAGGATGAGTCAATGCGGATCCATCTCCACCCGGTTCTGTTGTTGGTGTCCTTCGTGAGTGCTCTCACGTATGACTGCTTAGCTTTGCATTCACTCAGCCACTGTTTTTTGTCCACGCCAAAGCAGCCAGATCCAGCCACGCCTGCGCCAACCGATCTGTTGCCCAACCGTGCTGGATTGCTCCCTGGTTCGGGCTGGCGGCAGCGAGTCTCATAGAAGAACTGTTTGAGTGGTCCTGTTTGGGTTGGGATTTCCTGCAAAACGGTGACCATCCGACCGTGCGAGTCTATTGCGCTCTTTTTGTCAGTGACCCAAACACTCTCTGACTCACACACAGCCTTTTCACCTCTCCGTCTGTCCAGTAAGTGTGAACGTTTGTCCCGTTTGACGGGGCGGCCAGCCTCACCGGCAGCTCCATCGGGCAAATCCAACCAACTTGCGGCCGTGCTCCTGTCAATCGCCCAATCTCCGTGACCTTCAACGTGTCTGTCCGTGTCCTCTTGGTCACCATCATCCCCCTCCTCCCTTAGCAGCCCCGTCTCCAACATGAGCATCAGAGGTGGGTGTTCTGGAGGAGACAGGGAGGGTGAAAATAGGACTCGTGGATGTGCGTCCAGAAATGCCTCGTCTCCTTCTAAGAGGCTGTTCAGCCTGGTGCCGTGGTCCATACTTGCCTCAGCAGATAGGCTCTCTTTAGCTACACTGTTGCCAGCTTCTGGTGCTAGCCCAGTTCCAATGCCGAGTGCCGATGTAGCTCTTTGGTTCTCTGACGGAAACATTTGCTCTTGTCCCTGGGGACCTTTTAGAGTCACGGCAGGCGAAAGAGCGTTACTGTTTTTGATGGGCCTGTTTATGGAAACCTGATGATTGTCCTTTCTGTACCAGTCTATAAAACCAGAGTAATCTTGCCTGCTGCTCCCATCAACCGTGTTGTCCTTTGGCAGAGAATTATCACTAAAGGTATTCCCAGTCCCAAGAGTTTGGCCTTCTACAATCGCACTCTTTTGGTTAGCGCTGCCTAGGTTGCTCTTTGACAGGTTGGGATTTTGATGCTTTACGTCCAGTGTTTGTGTCTCCTGATGCATGGAAGATTTCTTCGCATAATCCTTGCTGTTTTGGAGAGTCTGTCCGTCAGTATACTGGCCTAAACCACCGACCACATAAAATTCCATGTGTGTGGCATTACCATGTGGGTAGTAGTTGATTGTGGCAGTAGCAAGGTGTGTCGTGGCCGGGTCATGATGGTCCTCTCTTTGGTCATTGAAGCCAGGCTCTGTTATTGCAACAGCAATCCTGGACATGGGGTTGTGAGGGAGAGGAAGGGCCGAGGCAATCACCATGGCAACCAGGGGAAGCCAGTGCATCACTCCCAGAACGTTTCAGCTGGTGGTTCGAAAAGAAATAAGTGAAAAAATGTTATTCTGCAGTTCTCTCTCACTTCAAGCATATCACTTCAATTAAAGTATGAAGTCAGATCTGTCTGGATTTGAATTTGGCGTTTTATTTGCTGAAAGTCTGGTAAAAACAAAGTTTGCTCAATTTTGGGGATTCGTGGCGGATGCGGTTACAGGAGGTGAGTTTTTGTTACAATTCCTGACACTTCACATGGCTAAAAATAAATAAAAATACCAACCAAATACCAACTTTTCACGCAAAATATAAACTGTATTTGTAGTAAAAGAGAACATGTTCTCGTGATAATTCAAGCGCGTTTAGTTAATCAAGTTAAGTGTGCGTTCTGGACGCAAACATATACCTTTAGTCGGCCGTTTTTTTGCTGCTTGACATTTACAACCGTAGCCTTCACAAGTTAGACCGCCAATTGATTCAAACGTCAAGCAAAAGCAATTACTTCTTCTCCTTTTATCCTTTAATGACATATTTTTTGTTTTTAAAATCCAACAAATGACTAGTGTTTCCTAAGTCACTGAATCTTATTGAAGGTGTTTACCGTTAAACACAAGGTTATGCATTCATCACCTGGAAGAGTTTTGCCATTGTAAATATACATAGCCTGCAGAGAATACCTTAACCATGTTGTTTTAACCACCAAAGGATTATAAGATTTGCGCAGAGACACAAATAACGTAAATGAAACAAACCACGGAGCAGTAGTAAGTAGCAGCAGCAGTTTTCCCCAGGCACTTCTGAAAGTAATTACCGCTCCCTGGGAATGGGTTGGCAGGTTAAAGGCGGGGGAAAATGTTTTTTTTTTTCATGTTTACGTTTATGGTATATGCATGTACAAATGAGGTATGACGGTATGAGGTATGATGGGAGGGGGATATGCAGCTCATGTCATAAAGGGATAGGTAGTTAACTATGGAAAGAATATAATTGGAAAGTGAAGCTAAGATACTTTAATACACCCTTAACTAGCTCCTCATACATCAAGGAACCACAAGTAGAACTATGCTGGGGAAAAAAATGCGGAAAAGTCGGGGACCATTCCCATATTTTCTGGGATTGTCGAGTAATTGAGAGTTTTTGGGAATGTGTTAAAGAGAAAATTGATATACTAAAAGTAAACATCCCTCTAGATCAGGCGCGGGCATACTTTTTGATTCTTGGACAGGTCTATACTAAAAGTAAACATCGCTCTAGATCAGACGTGGGCATACTTTTTGATTCTTGGACAGGTTTGTATGAACTAAGAAAAGTGACACGTAACGTAAGGGTTAGGATGCTAACCTTTGCTGCTTTTTGATAGCAAACCGACTACAACTTAGAATAGAACTCTTTGTTCCCTTGTAGAATGTATATAACAGGAAATGTACATTGTTAATAAAAAATAAAAGTTTAAAAAAAACAAATGAGGTATGACTCGATTTTTTATCTTTGATAGCAATACCGGTAGGTATGACTCGGTTTTTTATCTTTGATAGCAATACCGGTACTGCAACTTCTACAAGAGTATCTGACAAAAACCAATATCTTTTCTCGTCCAGCCCTTGCTAAGGCACGATCGTGTCCGTATTTGTTTCTCAGCCACAACTTTGGTTGGTTGTGGTGGTGTTTAAGCGAAAGTGGGCAGGGGGAAGTGGCAAGGAGGTTACATGGGGTGCCAACATGTGGGAGAGTTGTTGGAAGACACGCAGACATCAACTGTGAGCCTAAAGCAGCTTTCCTATGATGGTACATTGGACATTATTTTAGTTTTAGTTTAATATTCATTCGATGCAGGAAGAAAGAGTCCGTCTATGTGTTATCGTAATCCAGTGAAGCACAGCCGACAACAACTCTGGTGTTCACAGCTGCCCAGACGCAGGTGCATCTTTCAATGAAGGAAACGCAGCCACGGCACATTTTATTCATACGCACTGCACTTACTTCTTCCACACTATAATGAAATCCCTTGATATTGTTAAACAGTTTACTCTTGTGAGGAAGAAAATACAACCACCGGTTGCCTCAAGAAGAGTTTCCATCCATCCATTTTCATCCGCTTATCCGTTACCGGGTCGCGGGGGCAGCAGTTGCCACCCAAATCTCACTGCACCGTTCCAACCCCCCTAAACCTTCCTGCGGGTGGTGAGTCCACTGGAAGGTACCAACTGCCCTAACCGGGATTTGAACTTACCCAGGAGGTGAACCCTGGGGTTCCACACCAATGACAGAGACGTTGCCTCTGGGCCAAAGCGCCACTCAAGAAGAGTTTATTTAATTTATAACACAAAAATATATATATATATATTCAGCTAAATACTAAAGCGTATTTCCACCGCCAGGGAACAACAAAATCAAAACAAAATCCTGAGCCACAATCATAACATTAAAACGTCTGAGGTTACAGCAGAAATCTGTTTCTTTTAACAGGGATAACCAATCTATGTTCAGCACCAAATGTCTGTGAGTGAGGTGAAGCACAAAAAAAAGTTCACAGCTGGGACTTACTGTGCAGGGGAGTAGTCTGTAAACTCCATGTTTATATTGGATTTCATCAGTGTAATCAGTCAGCTGTTGGTACTCACAGTGCTAACAGCTAACGGCGGTGTTTACACCAGTGATGGCGGTGTTAGCACTCCTCATATTATTTATATCACATATCATTTTAAATGATCAAATAAAATAAATAAATATAATTATCATTTTAACATATACATTTTGGTTGGATGGATGGATCATTTTAACATTTGGGTCTAGGTGACCTTCCTGCACATCTTGTGCCAAGTTTTTCTCAACCTCTGGTTCTGGGGCAAGATGCAAACCCATTGCAAATGCTGGGACGCTGGGTTTGTATGAAATTCAAAGGACAACAGGAGGGTTAATTGCATCAATTGACTGGTGAATAGTACTCACTGATTAAGACTTAATATGCCCAGGTGTCAAATGGATTGGGAAGGACCGTAGACTTCTCACTGAAATGTTTAAAGTAACTTAACAACTAAACATTTAACAAGCCACTGTCTGGACCAAAACTCACCCAGTCTTATGAAAAGTGTAGACGGTTACAGTTACTCCATATTTTTGTGTGATTTAAGTTATACTTTTACATATTTTATTTTGACATTTTTCGATCCATTCCGTCAATCAGGTACGAATGACCAGCTGTCTTTAAAAAAAATGTATTATTGAATTGTTTGACAGTCAATATATATATATATATATATATATACATATATATACATACATACATACATATATATATATATATATATACATATATCTTTTCTTTTTTGGTATTTAATCAGCACGATTGGTTTTAGAATTACAGTCTATGATGACCAGTTGTGGTCTAATGTGTTTTGTGTATGGTTCTTTACATAGTGAGGGAAATATAATATATTCAATTTAACAAATGTCATGTCTCACATTGCTCCCACAGCAAATTTAAATTAGTGTACATTATACATACATACATTTATACAGCAATGCTGTACCTTCATAATTAACTTTTTTTTTTTACGTAACTCACACAACACCGATCATGTTTGCTAAATGGTAATACCCCTCAATGTCATTATCGCATGTGCAGCTAACCACTACTTGCTGTGACTTGTACCTTATTTCTCAGGTTTTAAGTGAACAAAAGTAAAATTATGAGTCAAGCCAAAAAGATTTGAGGCTTTACCCGTGACTAACTGGGAAAATATTTCATTCAACTCTACAGCCAGCCCAGACGATGTGACAATGTTTGACAAGGTACGCAACAGGCCACCTCATGAATGTAGAAATGTGAAAAGTTATTTATTTTAAGGCAGGGAGATCAAGGTGAAAGAGGAGGTCACTTGGATCGTGTTAAAGCAAATGGAATTGTAAGAATGCAAATGATGCAGCTTTACTGGCGAGGGGCCCTCGAGGCTCCTTGGAGAGCAAAAATAAAAGTATGCAACGGATGGTTAGTTGTGATAAGTGGATGATACAACTGGTGTTTTTTTGTTTGTTTCACCTGGGCATGTTTGTCTGCGTAGTGCTACATGTTTGTGCGCAAATGACTGAGTAAAGGTTTTGCAAATACCTGATGAGTGACAGAAAAACAGGAAATGTTTTCAGTGACAGGGCTTGTACGTGGCAGAGGGCAAACCCTGGGGCCACACAATGAGGCGTCAGTTACACATTTCACTGTCTACCGCTACAGTCCCGATGACTGAGTAGCTAAGAAAGAAAAACACTTCTTGATTTTTTTTTAAATTAACACTTTTTTAAAGTGTGGCCATCTAGAACAACATCTTCTCAGTAGCACTGGCTTCAGTAGCTCATGCCAAAATGGAGTGTATCCAGCTAAAGTTCTACTGGTCTGGTCTGAGAAGAGAAGACAATTTGAAACCAGCCAAGTATGAAGGAGAGGGAAAGTTGAAAAAGCACTTGAGGTTTTGTGCAATTTATGTTGTTTGTCAGAGAGACGTAAACTT